TATTTTCCTCTCCTATCCCCTTTCTCCCCCAGCATCTCCAACAAACGACACTACCCATCATCTACTCTCCTCTGCTCTCCTCCATCCTAGCTCGGGAAACTAGAAAGAGCGAGCACCCACTCACTCACTCACTCACTCACTCACCCGTCCTCCTCCCCTCTTACCCCCCTTCCAATAAATATAATATATATTTATATATATATATATATATATATATATATTACATATGATACCACACCCAGCTAACCCCCGCGCCCCCTTCCCGCACCTCCGCCCAAACAGAACAGATAAAGCCCAGCACTTCACCGAGAAAGTCTCCAAGGTAGAAGCGATCCTCGCTGCCGACAGCAACAACACCAACGCAAACGCCCCACCACCAGCAGCGCACTAGAAAAGGATTAGAGAAAGAAAGAAAATCGAAAATCGAAAATGGGAAGATAGAGTATCTAGCTAGCTAGCTGACTGTGTTCTGTCCTGTTCTGTTCTGTTCAGCTCTCTTCTGTTCAACTCTCTTCAACTCTCTTCTGTTCTGTTCAGGTCGTCTCCAAAACCTTCAGAAATAGAGGAAGCAAAGACAAGAAAAGACAAGACAAGACAAGATAGAGATACACATGTGATGTGGAGAACTCTTTCGTCTCTCTTCCAAATCTCTCTTTTTTTCTTTCCTTTTTCTTTCTCCTTTTTTTTCCTTTTTTTTCCTTTTTTTTTTCCTTTTTTTTTTCCTTGGATATTTTCTTCACGAGGGCTGGCTGGCTGGCTATATATATATAACCACGAGGATGAAGTGCTGCGATGGAATCATGTCAGGAGCCCTGAGGAGGAGGGGGGAGTGAGAGTCAGTTAACAAGATACAATACCTAGCAAGAGAGCGGGGGTTAGTTGAAATAGGAAGGATGCAAAGCAAGGAAAGGGGGATGGGTGGCTGGATCGATGGATCGATGGATGGATGGATGAGCAGCGAAGTTGGGAGAGACTGACTGTATGCAGAGGGAGAGAGGGAGAGGGAAAGAAGTCTTGCAACCAGTGCAGCTTCAGTGACAAAAGAGAAAGAGAAAAAAACAAACATGAAAAACGAGGAGAAGAGAGGAGAAAAAGGAAGCGCGAGTAGAGAAATGCCTGGACCTTTAATACTACCTGTCTGCCTGCCCTCCCTGCCATTCTAACTCCCAGCAAGGAAGGAATCGCCTAAAAGCGCTCCGAAATGCATCTCAATTGCTGCGATTCCCAATTTTCCATTCATTCGCTCGCTCGCTATTCTTACTCAACACAATAACCAAACCACCTTTATCCATCATCATTCATCGCTTGCGTCCACTTTTTCCTCTCCCCTTCCATCCCAGCCTCCCCAACCTTCTATACTCTACACCCCCAATCCAAGCCTCAGCCCCCGAAACCTAGGATCTCGAAGCCTCCAGCTCCAGCTCCAACTGCCGGATTCTCTCACTCTGATCCTGCGTCCCGCTCGCGACCCGCATCTTCAGCGTGTCAACCTCCTGCGTCAGCACCACAATCTTCTCGCTCTGCGCGTTCAGCGTCCGCGTCTGCGCCTCCAGCAACTCCTTGATCTGCGCCAGGCTGTTCTCGACAGCGCCATTCACACTCGAACTTCCTACAGCCGAGGTTGGTCCAGAAGAGGTGGGGATGGTGGTAGGTGACTTCTGAGCCACAGGTGCTGCGTAAGAGCGCTGTGTAGCTTGGGTGACAGGAGATGGCTTCGGGGCCTCAGTTTTGGTAGGCGAGACATTGGTAGGTGAGGCAGGCTTGGATTCCACGCGAGCAGCGACCGGGATAGATTTATGGACGGGCTTGGCGATTTCCTCAAAGCTGGAGGCATCGTCATCCTCATCATCTCCACCATCGTCCTGAAATTTCGATGCCATGGCTGAGATCGATCCCTTCTGCTCGGACATGGTTGGTGGGGGAGCTCGCTGGACGGGCGTAGGAGCTGGCTCTTCCTTCTTCGGAGCTGGCTTAGGCGCAGGAGCTGCTGCTTGGGTTGGTGGCTTGTAGTCAGATGCGACTTCGACGGGGGCGTTGCCTTCGTAGATACTCTCGAGGTCGATCTTGGCTGGGACGCCGTCTTTGCCCGAGAGCCATTCTGCGGCTGATACTGCGGGCTTGAGGCCGGTGGCTGGTGGGTAGATGTCGGATTGGAAGACCTCGGCTCGGCGGGGGACTGTGAAGGAAATGGGTTCGATGTAGCTGTCGTTGACCGTCTTGTATGCTCGCATAACCTCGTTCTCGTGGACCTATGGGATGTCAGATGTGCTCTATAGCCACGTGGATCCACTTGCATTTATGCCACGTCTTGGGACAAACGCCAATCCTCGCTGGGGGTCTCCAGACTTGTATTCGGAGAGGAACTCGAATTTGTCGTTCTCGTACTCGAAATAGCGAATGTTGCCATCACTAACTGGTCAGCATAGCTCTCTACAGGTCGAGATAAGCTTACCCCTTTCCTGCCAAGTACAAACATTGTGTTCCATCATCTGCAGCCGTCAGTCACCATCTCTCGTAGAGTCTAGATAGATGTCTTACCCCAGAAAGGCATGCAAACACCCGAGATGGAATCCAACACCGTGAAGCCACCCAATGGCTCCGCAGGAGCACCCACATCCCACAATGCCATCTGTCTATCACTCATCTTGGAGAAACCAGTCGTAGCCAAACGGTTGTGCTCGCCCATCCAGACCACTCTGCTGTTCTTCGCTCCGCTGTGTCCTGAAACCTCATGTGCTGGTCTCTCTTGTCGAACATCCCATACTCGCAGCTTCTTGTCCCGGGATGTCGTAGCCAGCATAGCTCCATTTGCACTCCATGACAAGCTCTGCACGATATCGCCATGCTTTAGCGTAAGGTGGGCCTTCCCGCTCTCCACGTCCCAGAGCTTGATCGTATAGTCGCCAGATGCCGACGCAAGGATATTCTCCGCCGCGGGGTTGAACAGGACCTGTCCGACCTTTCTGCTAGCTGTTAGATGTATTCTTTCAATCTGCGAGCCTCTTACCTTGAATGCCCAGTCAGTTTGCTGACGGGGGCAACATCCACCGGCTCCTCAGCATCAGAGTAGAGGGAGAAGCCCTGCGGGACCTGCCAGATAAAGACCTTTCCATCGTCCGACCCTGACGCGATCACACGGTCATTGAAGGGGTTCCTGCCACCGTCAGCTTCCTCCTCAATCCAAAGCCCTCTACCGGTTCAACCTACCAGTCCGTATCCAGCACCGGCGCCGTATGCCCACGGAACAGCGGGATCTGCTCAGGCAACCTGCCCTTCTCGTTCACCGGGATGACAGCGAACGCGCCGCCACCACTGGCCTCCCAATTGACAGCCAGGTACTCGGGATTGGCCTAGACGTAGAGAGTTGTCCTTATCAGCACCCTGCCTCGCGCAAACAAACGGGATTTGGGGCTTAGGTGTTATATATGCGTATATGCGGGCTCCCACCTTGACAAGATTCGTGTCCCAGGCATTGCGACTGATGTGCAGGTTGTCGTAGCATCCCTCCTTGCGTGTCGACTTTCCGAATACGTGTCCTGGGTTTGCGATCAGCTTGCTCTCGTGTTTGGGCTGGTCGGGGCTGGGCTGGGCTGCACCTACGGTACTTCGACGCGCGCACGAATCGGCCTGCCATCAGGGCTACAGCTGGCTGTGAGGATGGAGTGTGTGAGTTGGTATTGATATTGATATTACCGGTTGCACGAGATGGCGGGGTGGATTTTTGTTGTGTTGTGTTTGTAGATATGGTGTTGGATGAGGCTGGTCTGTTATGGGATGGAAGCTATGCTGGCAGCTTTCGTGTTGAAGCCTAGGCGAGATGCAGCAAGTACTTTCAAGTGAGTGAGTGCCTCCAGTAACGACCTTGATATTTTAATTTGCTTGTCGATTCAGGAGAAGCTGCATGTCTTTCTACTCGATCTTTATATACTGCATGAATTGTCTGTCACTTGGTGTCGACGACGACGTTTCAGTATTCCCCTTTCCTATGCCATATATATTTTAGGTGTTTTGGGAAGAACTATAAATTGAGCAACATTTCCTATGTACTTGACAGTCAGAAGAGCTTTCCTACCCTAAGCTCCTTTATTTTTGTTAGTCAAGATCTGTCAAATTATATACCTGATGTTAATGCGCTTACAACCCCAACTTCATTGATTTTTAGGTGTCCGGGATTTAAGCGTATATTCGGTTCACATTGCCTCACAGCGGGGTCTCTGCTAAATTTTTATGGAATATAGGATCTTGCGCCAGCGGTGTCGACATCAAAAATAAAGTCGTATGGTCTAATGGTTATGATATCTCGTTCACAAGTACATGAACAGTCTCCGAGATGGTTCTGAGTTCGATCCTCAGTACGACTAAAGCTATCATCTTTTTTCTGCTTTTTTCCCGTTTCATGGTAGAAAGAATCAAAGACGGTTCATTGTGCTTGTGAAATCCTTTTACCGGACGTAAAATTAAAGACGTGCAAATTGATCGATTGTCCTTTCTATGCCACATCACATCACATCATATTATAGATAGCGCATTATAGAGACTTTCCAATAGAATTGTATCTTTTGCATAGCTACCTACCCCAAATGGTATCATATGAGTCTGCGATTGTCTGTTATCATAATGTGATTCTGTATCAGATGTCGCAGAGGAGCACGCACGAGCGCACTCCCGATTTCAAAATGTTTGATACGGATTATTGCTTGTTTCACGGTCAAAGGGCTCCGTTTGATTCTCAACTTCATAATTATTATCTGTATGGCTGGCTCTGTTGAATAGTCACTTGTAATCAGCACGGAGACAAAACTCTTGATCTAAGCTTCAACGCTTTGATTTCGTCCACCCTTAGAGTATATTATGTCTCTTCTCGTGCCGGTGGTCATGACCACTGCTACCAAGTGGTTGAAAAACCGAGGCGCAGTGATCACGGCCAGAACTTTCGCGACCGCGATCTGTTGTTACCCGCCCTCTGTCTCTGGTACGGACCTGTTTACTGCATGCTGGCTGTGCAAGCCTCGAAGAAGGATTGGCGCCCTGATCCTGTTCCAAACGCTCAGAGTGTCTCTTTTGAAGGCCCATTTCCGATTTGTTATCAGCAGAGATTGATGCTGCTTCTGCACTTACTGCTGCCGTGCTGGTTTCATTCCTGAAGGAGGTGGTGCAACACACCGGCCTTTTCTTCTCGGCCGGTTGGTCCTTACACTTAAATGCTTTTGCTTTCGTCATATGAGCTTTCAATTCCTTGTTCATAATGGGGCCATACCGTATCTTGGGTAATATCCGTATCAGTGCGCTCCTCTTGCCTTTTCGCCTCTGACCAGTAGCGATCTGTTGGGGACATTTGTACCTTTTTGACCAGATTGTGCGAGATTCAAAGGCCATACTCGCAGTGGATGTCACTTCGATATGTTGGAGGCATAATCCAAAGGGCAGATCTGTCACCGGTACTCCAGACTTTGAAGAAGCAAGAGGCTTACTTTTACTGTGGAAGAATTCACGGATCGTCGGCTCGCGTAGGTGGGCCTCCATCTCATCCTTCCCGTCTTAAAGCCGACGACCTTCGATCACCGGTACCGGTAGCTCTACGGACAACTCCAGATGATCAGATAAGTACTACGTACAAGTACAACTACGTAGTACGTAGGAAGTACGGTACGGTACCGGTATTGGACGAACTCACGTGTTGTAACTCGCTTTCCACATGGGATTCCCGGCGGCAAAGACCAGAGGATGAACTTACCGTCCGTCGAATTCCGTGCACAGGATCCAGATTGTGATTGTAGGAGTATTAGTGACAATCCCTTACTCTTGTTGACCCGGGGAAAAGAGATTGCAACGCTCGAAAACGGGAGATTGGACTCCATATTTATATATTTAGTATGATTTTCGACACGGGCCTGACAGAATCGGGGGGATCTGATCAGTCTGTGCAGTAGAATCGACAAGGCTTTTTCACTCCTAGCCACGTAAAAGCTGCCGTTCTGTGAATCACGGGGCTATAAGACTGGGGCTGCCGTCAACTCAGGGAGAGTATATCGATTTTCTCTTCCATAGCGGAAGGTAGTTGTAGTAGGTATTCCTACAGCAATTTAAGTACTGTACAAACCCAGATACAGCTAGTTGAAAAAGTATAAAGAATACCTGCATCCCCCCCACCCCCCACGTGTTCCTGAAAGATTCATTGTATCTATCACGGAAAACATCCCCTTTGCACCTTCAAGCCAAACCTCCCGAACTCGGCACAATGAAGTTCTCCATCGCAGTCGTTGCGGCCTTCATGGCCACGGCTCTCGCCGCACCAGCTCCAGCTGGACCGTAAGTAACCCTGCCATATCTTCCAGTTCAAGGCGTCCTCTGTTACTACTGCCTAGCATACCCGCCTCGATGTCTCGATGCAAAGCCTCATCTCTTTTGCGTTACCCCTAGTGGATTGTAAGAGACAATCCGATATACGAAGCTTACATCTCGACTGCAGGTTATCCCCGCGTCGGGATTGTCCATTTGGACACCCCGATTTTAGCGGTGAGAAAGATTGCAATAAGAAGAAGTTCTTTGAAAGTCCCGTGAAGACTTCGTCAGGAGGCCAGCCGATAGGCCACCAACCAGACCCAGATGAATGTCTCTCTGACACGTTTGGACGGAAGTGCGGGAAGCTGAAGTTGCCCGGGTTCTCTCCCTGAGATCGGAGGAGGAGGAGTGATCAACGGAGGATGGCCATCGGCAGAGGTGGACGGCTGGCGGCTCCGCAACCAAATCGTGAGGATCAAGGCCCCAATTATACGCTGCACCCCATGTACTTATACCCACTCTGTATCTTTGCGTACCTGGAATCGATCAAAATAATATCGTGGTCCAGTTTGGCAGACCCTCCAGCTTCTCTCGCAGGCATACACACTCTTTGCTCCTCTATTGTCTCGTCGTGATCTCTGTTCAGTAAGTATCATTCGTACCGAGAGACCATACACTGTGCAAGCATCTCTCTTAAGACAGTTGTGTTGAATGGATTAGCTAATTTGGAGGTCTCCCGCTCTAGCGAGAGAAGATTTGCCGACACGTTCTTCCTTAGTAGGATAGTACAACCAATAGGTACGTCAACCCATTATTGAGCACGCAGTCCCGAGAGACCAACTCATATACAGAGTATAAGGATAGACACAATTCAAGTGATGAGCTCCGAGCAAAAAAAAAGCACGACAGATAACGGTTACATGCCTGTATTGGGCTAAGGGCCTAAGATGGCCTAGCTTCATGGGGAATGAATAAACAAACACATCTACTACGTCGCAGGCGTAAGTATTACCCCTCGAGGGTAGGGAAAACAGGGGTTTTAAAGTGGAAACTAAACTTTTAAGGCACCCTCGAGGGGTAATACTTAGGCCTGTACCGTGGTACGTAGTACGTAGTATCCTTGACAAACCTTATAGCTTAACTTTCTGTCTGATTGCGATCCACCCCTCCCTCCCTCTTCTCCGGTCGCCCGTGGACTCGGTTTGAATCCCCAAGAATGAAGCTGTCAATGATACATGCAGAGTACAGTATGAGAAGCATTTTCTTTTTGTTGACAATAGCTCTTCGGTTCTTCGAATCGCCCTTCTACCTAGTGGTGTTGGGGGAACGGACTGGTATTTGCACCGGGCAACGATCAGTGGTTATCGCGTCGGTGCCTACAAAGCTCGGCCAACGCATAGGTAAAGTAGTAGTACTACTACAACCCGCAGGTAATCCATGGTTCCACTCTTATTACAACGTACGGAGTACTATTACTCTGTAAGTACTAAGTACAACCGATGCAATAGACCGGACATGGGCGGGCCAGTGGCCGATAAATATGGCGTCTTGACTCTCGGATAGCCCTCCACCAGTGTCCCCGGCCGACTGCCCTGCAAACAAATTTTTACTACTTCAAGTACTATCGATCGCATCTGCAATCCATCTGCAGTCTCCTGCATATCCCCCCCCCCCCCCTCCCTTCCTGTCCCACTTGCCCGGCCAGCATCCTGCGAGCATCCAGCATCTATCGCCTTGGGTCGAAAGAACCCGCTCTCGAGTCGAGTCCGGTGGTCCCAGGAACCAGCTTCTTGGTCTTCAAGGGAGTCAGCGCCACTTATACGACTAGCGCTCTACCGACCGCAGCTGTACGAGAGAGGACTTATGGAGTTTCCGTCGAACTCTATTTCAACCCCCTAAAGAAGACGAGAGTTATGACTGAGCATGAAGCATACCCACTCGAGTGCGAGTTGGACCATGTTGACATGTTCACAACATTCGGATCTATGGTTGGACCAGGATCTAACAGCGACCCGGGAGTGTCTCACGAGTTTCGAGAACCAGATCTGGACTCTAAATCGCCAGTGGGTGCACCCGCCACGGCGAGAGAGGTCTATTCCTATTACTGTTACTACGCCGGGAACAATGGGATTGGCTCCTTCCAATAGTACGCTCCTTTAACTGCACATGCAGTCTTCTGGGATCCGGATCACTTCTGACTTCCTCAGCTCCAATCTGCTCTTCCAGAACTTGACCCAGCAAGCCGGCTTCAATCCCAATATTCTCCCACTCGGTAGCGTCTCCTGCGATGTTGATACGACAGCACCCTGCCATGTATGGTGGGGTGGTGGAAACAAACACAAGTCGTATACGTCCGTTGTCCTGATCGCATCCGGGCTCACCTTTCTCTCCCAAGCGCTCGTCTTCATCGGCGTTGGAAGTTTGGCTGATTTTGGCAACTGGAACCCATGGGTCGTGAGAGTCTTCTCACTACTGACTTGGGCCTTCGAGTTGGGGTTCTTGGGCGTCCACACTGCGTCGAAATGGCGGACTGCTATGGCATTGTATATGATCAGTGGTAAGGTCCTCTGCCGGCCCTTCTAAGCACCGAACTGACAAGGCCAGGTGTGACCTTCTGGGCCTCTTACATCTTCTTCAATGCCATCTTCCCTAAGATAGCCCACGATCTCCCTGAGGTCCGAGGAGCGAGAGAGGAACTCCTCAATGGTAAAATCACCGAAGACCAATTCGAGCGCACATGCTCCATGAGCCGCTCCAAGATAATGAACATGAGCTACTTCTGGAACAACATTGGCTTCACAGTCTGCACCGCCCTGACTCTCGCTACCCTCTTCGGCATTGGGGCGGACGACTCGACCGCAAAGAACAATTGGGGATACTCCGTCTCGGTGGCCGTTTGCACCGGCTTCTGGATCATCCTCGCTGTCCCCTGGTTCATCTTGGAGCAAAAGCGACCCGGGCCCAAGCTCCCCGCCGGGGACAACTATCTCACATTCGGATTCAAGCAGACCTGGTTCACGGTTAAGCAATTATGGAAGCTGAAGCAGACATTCTTCTACTTCGTCGCCTTCTTCCTGCTCGCAGACGGCCTCAGCACCACACTCACCCTCATCTCCATCGCCCAAACCCACGTGCTCAAATACTCCGCCATCTCAAACACTTACCTGATCATGGTGCAAGGCGGGTCTGCCGGAACTGGCGTCTTTGCCGCATACCATATCCAGAGATACTTCAAGCTGCGCACGAAAACTGTGCTGCAGATCACCAATGCTGGCTGCGTGATCGCGTCCGGCTGGGGCATGATAGGCATCTGGAGCGACCGATTAGGCTATCACAACGCGTGGGAGTTCTGGGCGTTCAACGCCACGTACGGGTTCACTCTGGGACCGCAGTTTTCGTACGGCCAGGCCTTCATGGCGGAGCTGGTACCGCGAGGGAGAGAGTACATGTTTTTCAGCTTGCTGGGCATCGTCTCGAAGGGGTCGGCGTGGATTGGGCCGATTGTCAGTAGTGCCATTGTGGATGTGCATGGTAACCAGTGGACGGCGTTTCCGTGGGCCACGTCGCTGATTCTGGTACCGTTCGTTGGAATATTCTTCATTGACGAAGTCACCAGTCGCAAGGAGTGTGCCGAATATCTCACGAGAGAGGCGGCGGATCTGAGGAAGGTGAATGAAAAGGTCGCTGGCAATCATGCCACGATTTGAAGTTAAAAAGCTTTGTTCCATGATTTAAATTTAAAAAGCCTTGTCCCATGATTGTTCCTCTTTTTTGGTTTCTGGACTCGGGGACTTGGAGACTCCGGGGACTCGGGGACTCGTACTACGTATGTAGTACTACGTACAAATACACAGGCGCAGCAGAAAGTCTCGCCTGTCCGTGCCAGGGGGGTCAATTCTTTATCATGTCAAACATGTCAAACATGTCAAACATGTCAAACACGTCAAACACGTCAAACATGTCAAACATGTCAAAAAAGCAACGAAAATGCTGCAAATGCTGCATGCACCTACTTCCCTCCCTTATCTCCGTAGGTCCCCGGATGATAAGTAAGCAGATTGACCTCTTAAGTCCGTACGGAGTAAGGCCTTGCGCGCTCCACCTGAAACCTTCGTTACGCATCAATACAGACTCGGCGGAATCTAAGTTTGGGGGGTTGGCCGAACTGCCGATGATACTTTTCCTATGATATCAGACGCTGCATCATCGAACTTTAATATGTACAAGTATGTGGGAAGGGAACTGCTGTTGCGTGCTCATTCATGTCCGTATACTGTAGCGAGACAGACCGTCTTGTAACCGGACTTGAGATACGCGGTAGAATATCCATATAAATATAATGGTACGAAATACCTATACATACTAATCGTATCTACACTTTTCATGCCTGCTTCCCGAACTTTTGCCCCGCTGTGGCTCATTTGCTCCGTGAATACCGAGCGGAGCCTCATCTCATCATCACCACCACCGCCGAAACCTTCTGCAAAACGTGATATTCGTCGGCTACCCGCCTACGTTACACCCACCCGTCTCCCAGAGCAGCAGGCCATTCATCAGCATTACTGTGACCGCCGCCATCGCCATCGCCGTCGCCATCGCCAATCGCTATCGCTATCGCTATCGCTATCGCCAGCTCCAGCGCCAGCGCCAGCGCCTCCCCCCAAGCCCGTCGTTTGCTCCAGACCCGCGCTCGAATGCCGCAGCGCTCTCGGCCCCTGAAAGGACAATGGCCCCGGGCATGGGAATCAAAGCACCTGTCCCCAGGACCCGGACAGGTGAGTGATCGGTCCAACTGTCTACCCGTCGTCCCTCCCCGGCGGCGCCGCATGCTCACCAACAAGCACAGGATGCCTGACATGCCGGAAAAGAAAGGTCAAATGCGACGAGGTGAAGCCCGTCTGTGAGCGCTGCACGAGGCTCCAGAGAGAGTGTATCTGGAGTGGCGATGACCTCCAGCTCGCTCCCTGTCACCGGCCTCAGCCAGCAGGCTCGGCGTCGATATCGATAGCGACATCGACCTCGGCCGAGCCGAGCCTCCAACTCAGCTCGCTGTCTGGCCAGAACTTCGTGGTGGAGTTCCCAAACCTCAACCGCCATACTGTGTCGTATATGCACCATTTTATCACTTTCTGTTGTCGATTCCTAGCTTACTCGAACGACAATGAGGGTAACCCGTTTCAGGAAGACTTGATCCCCCTAGCGAGCTCGTCACCCGCGTTGCTGCACTCGATGACTGCGGTTGCTGCCTCGCACCTGTCGCGAGGTCAACCCCAGCATCTCATTACTGCTGCGAATAGCTACGCTCTGGCCCTGAGGGAACTGAATGCCACCCTCTCGGATCCCGTCGTCGCCCGCTCGGATTCGACGCTAGGCGCTTGCCTGCTATTGTGCGTCTATGAAGTAAGTTTGTCTTCATCTTCATGGTCCCCAAAGATGCCGTTAATCAGAAGCGTATAGATATGTCAGTCCGACAACTCTCTCTGGCTTGAACACCTTCAAGGAGCACGAGACCTGATTTTATATAGGGGGGGTCCAAAAGCCAGTGACTACCTGACCCGATTTTTCTCTTTACTCGACATCTCCGGATCACTGTCGTCTGGTGGCGGTCCCCTCATCCAGGGCAACTACTGGCTCGAGGACGGCCCCGACCAGGATCCGACTTCAAACTCCAACCGCCGGCGCTGGCCATATTACGACGATGGCAACGTCATGACCAACCTCTTCCACGAGCTGATGGTGTTTATGGCTAAGCTCTCACGTCTGTCGGCTCAGTCAATGAGCGATCTTGGAGGCCAGCAGCCGGAGAACATCGTGAGCCAGGCGGCGGAAATCCGCCGCGATCTCTTCGCGTGGTGGCAACAGTGCCCTCCTGCTTTACGGGACCAGAGTAATGCCTGGAGGACGCAAGCTAGACCTCGCAAGCTGACGGTCCCTGAAACCTTGGAGGAGGAGGCATTTTCCAGCACCAAATCGTGTATGGATGGATGCATAATCTACCTGAACCATATCCTTGACCCGGAAGGCCTGCAACCTCAGAAGCCCGAGGTCATCGAGGCAGTTATTGATATTCTGGAGATTGCGAATGAGATGCCGAGAGGGTACGGCCTGGAAATGGGGCTCTACTGGGGATTGTTCATGGCTGGGATTGCTATTTTCAATGACGAAGTAGCGGAAGAGTTGATCCGGCAGAAGCTCAAGGCGGATATAGCGTCTAGCATTTATGTGTGTACACCGCCTCATATACACGAGCTACGGCTGACAGATCATAGCACCCTGATCGCGCGCTTGACTTGCTCGAAGTCTTGTGGAAGAGACAACACCAGTATGGTAGGAAATTCGACTGGCGACAGGTACAGATTCAGATGGACATCCACATGCAAGTCTTTCGGTAATTTGGAGGCTGGTCAAGATACTAACGAAGTACAGATTTATACTTGCGTGAAAAGCAAAAGCATCAAAGTTCAACACCAATCAGGGAATCATATTCCCGTCGGGGAAATGGCATGCTGCTTCTGCTTATGCCAGCTGTCATTGAAACTCCACCGAGGCATTGAATGGGTTGTACGATTCCTTGCGACCTGATACCACAGAAGGGAATCGGGATTTACGATATGATCTCGGCACTATGGGATATTGGAGGTCAGGTATCTGAATCCCTCTCAAGGGCCAGCGTCAATTCAGCATCCAGCACGAAGATCGAACCATCACTGCACAGGAAAAGCTTAATATCCTGTCTGTTGTGGCGCTCTGTCTGGCGGATGGAGTAGAGTCCTGCATGATCCCGATGGTTTGTTAATGCTCGGATCTAGAGCTGCTATCATCATACAGTGATGTACTTCCCACCGCCGATACCACAATTTGTGCAACGGGCTAACGCGAAAGGAGAGGTAGATATGGAAATCGTCTTCGTTACGAAGCTCGACTGGAATCTCAGATATGAGCCATCGCATACAGAGAAATGTCAGTCGCATCAAAGCCTGCATATCGGGCTTCGCGAGGAGAGAAGCCACCGTCGACGACGGAAGCGAGGATGACGAATGCAGGAGCCGAGGAGGGGATGAACGGGTGTGGTGCGGCCAGATTACGGGCCAGGAGCAGAAGTAGAAGCAGAAGCAGAAGTAGCTGGGGAGATGTCATCAACTAGCGCTGCTCATCCAGAGGATATCAGGATCTATTGCAGAATGGACTTGGACTCGGACTCGGACTTGGTAGATGTGTACGTATGTATGTATGTATATATGTATGACATGATATGACCATGAAGAGGAATATATCGAATATAAAGAAAGGATCTCTGGTTATTGGGTTGTCATTCCAAGACCAATCAATCATATGACAGACGGGGAAAGAAAGAGAGGGGTAAAAATGAAGGCGTGACAGGGAAAATTTCTTCCGCCTTTGCAGTGTTGTGTTTTGTTGTGTCGTGTTGTGTTGTGTTGTGTCGTGAATTGTCCATCGGGTATTCTATGGATGGGGAAGAGAAGAGAAGAGAAGGGGGGGGGAAGGGGGGGGAGGGGGGATATAGCCAGCTAGCTAGCTAGCTTCAGCGTACAGCGTACAGCGTACAGCGCTCTTCAATAAGTACGGGAGCAGAGAAAACAATTATATATATATATAGATAGATATATTAAAAGAATCCTTTTTTTTTTTTTTTTTTTTTTCTTCTCCTCGCCCCCCTCCTTTCCAAATCCACACCGAAGAACTCCTGACCATATTTCAATGAATGTCCCTACCGTAGCGCACTCACTCACTCACCCACTCACCTGCCCCCCGTCCCGTGACTCCCCCCCGGCACCCGCCTCCCCATTTCCCCACCTCCATCATAACCCCTAACACCCCCCACCTCACCCATCAAGCATCCTCGCTCGCAGCAAGCAGCAAGCACGCGAGCGCAGCCCGGCTAGCTCAATGGTTAGAGCGTGTGGCTTTTACTAAGGAACTTAGCAAAAGGGATGCAAAATCCACGGAAAAAAACCTCAAGGCTCCGAGTTCGAGTCTCGGGTCGGGCTCAATCCCCGATTGTGTACACCATTTTTTTCATGTTATCTAGATAGATATACATACATGTTGTATATATATATATTTTTTTTTGGGGGGTATTTTTTTTGGGGCCGGTGCTTGTCTCCTCTCTCTGTGGTGCTTCATCTTTTTTTTTTTTCTTTTTTTCTTTTTCTTTCTTTCTGGGATAGGGAGGTAGGTGGGGAGTAGGTGCGGGGGGGAAATGCCGCCCCGCCCCCTCTGTCTCTCCTCTCCCTCTTTGCCACATTACTAATAAGAAAAAAAAAAAAAAAGAAAAAAAGGGGGTTAAAACTACTCCTATCGCACGTATCTACTGAATGAACGTCGATCATGGCTGGATAGTTAGATAACTGGATGGCTGGCTGGTCGGATGGATAGAAAGACAGATACGGACTCTCTCTCCGATGGTATGTGTCATGATGATCGCGTTTTTGGTCGTCGGATGTGGTGTCATTGTGGTGTCATCACATCCACCCGCCTTCTGCTGCTGCTGCTCTAACCTTCGCCACCCTTCGCCACCCGTCGCCACCCGTTCCTTGTCCCGTGTTTCCCCAGGGCTCGGGTGCTTCAAGATCTATTGACCGGTAGTCTTGCAAAGCATTGCAAGATGGATTCGAGGCCGTGTTTCTTTCCTACATGGAGAGGTGTTTTTTTTCACTTGCCTAACATTCGCAAACTAGTATCGCAGTTACATGGAGTAGGTATAACAAACAAACAGGTAATACAGTCCAAAGAGTAAAGAAGACATCTATTACCAATCATTTATGCAATCAGATAATGTTCCCTTTCTGCTCTCCTCGCACTGCCGCGTGCGCTGCAACTGCAATGTACTAGTCATTCCCCCCCCGCGCTCCCCCTTCCCCCCAGAAAAGTAAATCAACCAAGTCCACTCCTATACTCCTCTTTGATGTTCAAAAATTTGCAACCTCACAACCGTGCTAACTACCGCTGACTATCTGGCTGACTCGCGTCCAAAACTTTTTGCATTTCCTCCATATCTGTAATCGTTTCGTTGAACACAAGAGACAACTCAGTCACAACAATGTCGCGATTATACTCGCCCCGCATCCTCCACAGCGTGTCCATCAACTCCCTATTAATCTGCTCCAGCTGCTCAATTGAGCATCCGCTCGATCCCGCTACCAGTCGCTCGTGGAGCTCCTCAACGAACTTCTCACTGAAGATCATGTCTTTCTGGGACGACCCTTGCGAGGATGTCGGCCCAGTAGGCGAGTCGTTGAGGAGATTGGCGATATTCTGAGGATGAGACCGGGAGACAGGCATGCGGGGCCCCGAGTTGAAGGCTGGCACTGCAGGGGTCTGAGAGGGCTGACTCCCAGAACTGGGCGTCTGGGACAGTGGATTTGGGCCGAGATGTCCACGGTGCATGGCGTGAGCTTGAGAGTGAAGCCATTCTTCGCTGCTGCTAGTGTCGCCTTGCGTGTTACGCTGGGTATCTGGTAAGTCAGAGTCGGCCACGGTTCCTACGACTGGGCTGGAGGAATTGTTGTTGCCAAGCCCATTCGTAGCTTGAGTGCTCCAACCCTCCGACGTTTTCTTTCCTGAAGTGGTTGTCGAAGCGTAATTGACAATATCGGCAGGCGATGTGCCCTGAGAGATCTCATGAAAGATAGAGCGTTGGGAGACCTGCGTGTTGCGTCGAGGTGGCCCACTAGTCATGCTTGGATGGTCTGGGAATTGTATATGCGAGGCTTCATCTGTCCCTCCCATATGAACATTATGAGGAGGTCCCGAGGATCCATTGTAGCCATGGAAGGGTCCCGAGGTAGCCGAGAAACCATTCGACAAGCCACTGGAGCCGCGGACAGGAGTGAATATCGTCGGTCGTTGTCCCGGCATCGGCTCGCCGTGTATTGGAGGTCTGGAAAGTTCCACCGAGGTTGGTCCAGGCCCAAAAATATCCGACTGTACGGTCGAGTTGAAGCCATTGTCTGCAGCCGCCGCCGCCGCAGCAGCAGCAGCTCGCTTCTTGTGCTTTTCTTCCCGCTCTTTCGCTCTTTCCAACTGTCGATGATATACGTTCTCGCAGTCTGCAAAGGCTGGCGAGAGCTCAATGTTAGCTATGTCGACTTCCACATTAGCAAGCAGCTCGTTTGCCTTTAGTGCCCGCTCCTTGTCCCCAATATGCTTCGCGTCTTTGGCCAGGGATCTGATATCCGCCAGAAAGTCCTTCGGGCGCGCATAAAAGCCGTTGGACAAACGCTCTTCAATAGTCGTGGTCTCCAAGTTGTAGTAGAACGTGCCAGTTGAAGTTTCACGAAGCCCCTGAACGCCGTCTTTGTCTGTGGCCAGCTCATAGGGTCGTAATTGAGGAATATCTGGGCGGACCCAATCGGGATCCTTCTCGTCATATAGATACTGGATTGCACTTTGCGGGATGACAGGCGTTCGAAATTTCTTGTACTTTCTGTGAATCTGGTCCATGATGGGTTGGATCTGAACTTTCAACAGGTTCAAAAGCTGGTGGTCTCTTTTCTTTAGGGCTTTGATTTCGTCTTTGGTCGGAACCTTTGGCGGGGGCGGCGGAGCTATCTGCAAGACTTCCAACTTTCTCTTCTTACGGTTCAATGGGTCCGGGAAGTCCTTCGGTGCCTTTCTCACATAGCCCGCAATCGTGGAGAAAAACTCGATTCGAGATTCCTAGGCCTTGTCAGCTCGACCAGCACAAGATGGGGCACCACAGCACTTACTCTTGACGGACGCTCGATGACGTATCGATTCTTTTTGGAAAAGCCGAAAAGATTTTGCAGCATGAGTGGATCGAGTTTTTCTATAGTGTTGTCCGTGATACCGAGTACGAGTACAGGGTCGGTAGGCGGGATGGCGCGCAGCATACCAAGGAATGTGGTTATGACAGCAGGGCCGACAGTTGCGTACCAGGTATCAACTCCCGGTAAGTAGATAACGCTGGGCTTGTGTCGCTTCACTTCTGCGAACAGTTGAACGATTGCAGCTTCCGGGGACTGTTCACCGAGTCAGCAAGGGTGGAGCACGGCCGAGCGGCAACAACTTACTCTCGCGGAATCGCTGAAAATGGTAGGGAGGTCAAAACTCTGCACATGAAGTCCTTCGAAATGGTTCAAGATACCACCACCAATATATGACTGGCCCATGCCAGGTTGACCACTGATGAGGAGTCTTGGGCGGAATACGCGCGACTTCTCGAAATCTTGCTGCAGGGTCTCTCGTCCAAATCCGTGATCTTCATCCTCATATTGTTCGAACATTGCTTCTTGTAGAGCGGTGGTCTTCTTCTTGATGGGAATCAATCCATCCAGAATCTGCTCGATCTCCTTGAGCTGATGTCGAAGAAGTGGCTCAATAGCTTTGGGCAGCGGTGCTGCGCCGGAGGAGGTTGATCGTTCGGAGGATGGAATCATTTTCTTGACAGAAAGCATGAAATCTTTGGCTGTGACCTTGATCTTGTCCTGATCCACCAAGAGTTTCTCGTTGGAAGAGTATATCTGGGGGTAAGTACGCTGGATAGCATTCAGGGCTGCTTCTGTGCACAAAGCACGAAGATCGGCACCTCCATAGCCTTTGGTGACATGAGCCAACGAAGTTTTGAACTTGTCGTCGATACCCCAGTCCTTGGTATGAATGTTGAGAATCGACTTTCGGGCCTCAATGTCAGGGAGAGGAAAGTAAAACTCTCTGTCGAAGCGTCCAGGTCTTCTCAGTGCAGGGTCGATGTTATCAGGTCGATTGGTAGCACCAATAACAATAACCTGACCTCGACCGTCCATACCATCCATCAGAGCGAGCAGAGTAGACACTATTGATGCATGGATTTGTTCTTGCTTACTCGATCGCACAGGCGCAAGTCCATCGATCTCATCAAAGAAGATGATACTTGGCTGGGTCTTTCTAGCTTCCTCAAACAGGAGCCGTAGTTGTCTTTCGGCTTCGCCAACCCACTTGCTCAGCGCATCGGCTCCTTTGCGCATGTAGAAAGTGATCTTTCGCCCACCAGCCCCAACACTTGCTGCAAGAGCCCTCGCGAGAAGGGTCTTTCCAGTACCGGGAGGCCCGTGGAACAAGACGCCTCGAGGCGGAGTGACATGGAATTTCAGGAAAAGCTCGGGATACAGAAGAGGCATCTGGACCATTTCTTTGAGCTGGTCGATATGCCCTTCCAGACCGCCAATCTTGCTGAAGTCGACGTTTTGGTCAACACCAAGAGGGTCAGCATCCGCCAAAGCCTTTTGGCTCTTGACCTTTCCAAGGTTTGCTGGGGTCCCATGCGCCATAGCGTCCGCATTGTTCGTCTGACCAAGTCCCGGAAGTAGTCCCGGAGGGAATGCAGAAGTTGGAGTCATACCCACATTGCCTCCAACCCCAGAAGGTCTCTGTATCGTTTCGTCGTCACTGCTGTCGGAATCAACACCGCCAGCAGCTCCTGTTCCCCAGGGTCCACCAATTACCGGGACTGGACCACCCCCGCCTCCGAACGGCCCAAATGTAGTGTAAAGATTTCGCTCCCAAGGTTGACTGGCACCACTACGACCGCCTTTCACTCTTCTTGTAGGGGATGGAGCAGTTTCAGCGCCATCCTCATCGGCAGCGTAGATCTGGTCCATGGGTTTTATGCTATAGTCCACTTGCTTTCGGGCCCGACCCGGACGGGCCGCGTACTCAATTTCGGACGCTGCCCTGGTTACTCGCCTCTTCTTCGATTTGGTAAGCTCTGCCAATTCCTCGTCAATCTCATCAACGTCAATCGGCTCATCAACTTCAGACGCGGAACTACCCCGTCTCCGAGAGTTGGACTTTGATTTCGTTTGGCCACCACGCCTTCCTCTCCGACCAGAGCCTGAGTCGGATCCATCATCTTTCTTTGCTTTCCTAGGGGAGGCGTCGGACGCCGAAAGCTCGTCCTCTGCAGGGTCATCTTCAGGTTCAAAGTCGCTGCTCGCCTCCGCTCCGTTCTTTCTTTTTTTCGACTTGGATCCACGGGTCAAACGTCGGGTTCCCCCTTCTGGTCGTTCTGTTGTAGCCTCCTCGACTGTCTCAACGGGAGACGAATTAGCAAGACCAGCACGCGAGCCCCGGGCACGACCTGTACGAGTAACGGGCATATCGTCTTCCTGGTCTTCGTCCTCCTCGGTAGGAGCTACAGGTTCGGCTTGAGGTTCGTCGTTGGCAAGCTCGTCCACATTGTCTTGCTCCATGACCGCGTCAGCTTCGTCTTGTTCATCAGTCCCGGCAATTTCGGTCGCCATGGTGGTGGTTGCTACACCTTCCTGTTCGTGAGAGCTGGTCTCGTGAATTTCCTCTTTGATCGTCGAAGCTGGCTGTTTCAAACCCTTGGAACCTCGAGTTCTCCGATTTATGGGTTCGGGGCTGTGACCTTCGCGGATAATGTGATTTCCGGATGCTGACAAGGATATTTGTTCGTCCCCCTCTTCTGTTTGTGCCCTGGTTTTACGCGTGAGTCCGGCGGATCTTGGTTCTGTGCTTCCTCTTCCGCGTGTGCGTGCAGCACTAGTAGCCCTGCTGGTGCGAGTTAATGAAGCTAGAGGTGTGCCTCGAGAGGTCCCAAATTTTAGCTTTATGATCTTCGACGGGGCCTTTTCTTTGGGAAGCTTTTTCACAGGCTCGTCGCCGGAATCCTCGATTCCTTCCTCCGGCTCTTCTTCAACAATCTTTCGCCGCTTGCTTTGGGGTTTCTTCCTGGGTTCGTCGTCCGACTCCGAGAGCGTGTCTCCAATATTATCTGTGATATCACTCTTGCTGTCTTCCTCGTAGTTGACCGTCTTCCTGGTAGCCTTTCGAACCGCACGACCAGTTTTCTCGTTCATTTCCACCTCCTCCTCCTCCTCATCGTCTTCTGAAAATGAATCTTCTAACAAGCTATCCTCAACATCGTCATCTGTGACGTCGGAGCCCTTGTATTTTGATCGCTTTGTGTTCTTCTTCTTGGATACACCGCTACCTGCATGGCGCTTCGAGGAGGTTTTTCGAGATTTCTTGGGCGAACTTCTCGCTTCGCCAGGGTCGAAGTCGGTATCATTCGAGTCGGACTTGTTTGGGTCAAACTGCTCGTGCTTGCGCTTCGCTGGCATGACTAGGGCGTGGTGGAGAGCAACTCGGTAGATGCTTAAATTTGAATCAGAGATGTGGACAATGGGCTTCGGTGTCGTTTGTCTGGAAATGCGCTTGCTCAAGCAGGATCGTGCGATTGCCGACGGTATGGGAAGCGCAAATTGGCGGATAATCGAAGCTTCAATTACGGCGCTGAAGCTTATGAGAGAGTGTTGAATTGTTGAATGGCGCGAAGGCGGTGCTGGTGGTAGTGGTGATGAGGAGGGAGCTTTGTTATGAAGGTGAGCTTGGGATTCGATGCGCGTCACGCCAAAATGCCGCTAGACCTGCCGCTGCCAAGACTTTAAGCAACCACAATTGAATTAATCAATGTCGCGCCCTGACAGCCATGAGGCAACAAGAAAGAGATTCCAACATCATATAAATTCCTTCGATGTTCCTCTGGCGATCTGCCAGCTCTCGAAATGGCGCGGGACCATCTTCATGACACATGTCCCCGGTGATTTGGGCCGATCGGAACCGATTGAAAGGATGGCAACAGAGGTCACAAGAAAATAATGTTTCCAAGATGAAGCTCTTCCTCTTTTCAATACTGATGACGCTCAATATAAGCTTTATCTATTTATGGGAGCATTCCTGGATTGACAGCTGGGGGGAGAAACGTGACCAATTTTGATCAAGCGTGTCTACGAAGTAGGTTGATCATTCTTCTCTATTCAGATCTACTATATGACTGGCCTATTCTGTTCTGACAATCTTCGAGGTTCCATGTTAAAAGTTGGATTCGTGGTTGATAGCATAATAATGACTTTGTTGCTATCCCTTCGGCTCCCAACGCCTCCGCCGGACGGGTTACCTATCCACAATGTTCTCTCCTATATAGATATATATATTTCAGCACCTTGTTACAGTCATTACTACTACTCCTTATCTATACTCCCACTAAATTGTATTCAAGGCTGCTGGATACAAACTCCAACGCTACTTTATTATTTGTATCAAACTCACGTGGGGATGGAGGCGCTACCCGACCTCGCCTCGCAAACCCAAACCTCATCTTTACTTTCACGGCATTCCTGGCGAGTCAATCATCTTACCTCTCTACCGACCATGAGACAGAATCCCTTGACAGGGTTTGATATGTGGTGACCATGAAAGCCGAAGTCCACCGACCATCTAGGAGTTCGAGAGGAGCTCACGGAGGTTGTACAAATTACTTCGCAGAATTAGTGTCTGTGATCTTGGAATATATGCTCGGGTGGACAATACCAGTGCTAAAACCAGAAACTCGGGCATCCCCTTCTGGGTTTTTCTGGGTGCCTTCTTTTGGATGTCTTAAACCCTCTTTTTTACTCAATTCAGAATTCTCGGCTTTTGATGTAGCCTCTTCTCTAAGAATATTCTTTTGCTATTTTATCTTATCATTTCATTCTTATGTGGTGCTCCTTCGATATCTGCTATGGCCCACGATGAATTCCAGTACAAGTCCGGTACTAATGGCAATGCCATCGACCTGACCAGTAGGTGGAAGCCAGGTCCCTGAACAACTTCAATTCGATATCCTCTTGAGGATAGTCAAAAGTGACTTGACTGGCTTGGGTCACTTCTCCCTTCCTCACATCGTGTTCATCTTGGAGCTGACCGTGTCTCGCGCAGGTGAAAAAATTGAATTCCTCGGAGGTGCATACGCTTGGTAACATCTTTGCTTTTTGCGGAGTCGCAGCCTTCTCTTCCGCAGACCTGCAAACTAGCACTACAACAGCCTCCTTGTTGGTATCAACACTACAGAGACCCAGATACTCTGCTCGGAGAGCTCGCTGGCAACTGCAGGCGGCATCATCTACAGCGCCTCGAGCAAAGACTACATCCTCTGGGTCAACGCCAATGCCCCTGACTACGCCTTTTTCACAAGCAAGAGCCCAATTAGTGGTTTTTTCAAGAGTCCAATCCGAGCCGAATTGGCTTTCAACCAGAAGGTCCATTCATGGCTGTTAATTTCGGTTGTCGTGTTAGCGACTGCGTAGAATACCTTGTTTGTTCTCTGCAGAACCTTACATTGGTAGTGGGCGATGTAATAAACACAATTTTATGGGAGGCCGGAGCGACGCGAAAGGTAAAAAGAACGGGCATTCCTTCTTTACGTTTCATACTTACAAGAGAGATGACTCCTCCGTTACAGAAATTGGGCCAGGAGATCAAGTAATATGCTATGATAAAATAATACTCCATGGGATAAACTTATACAGGAAAATTGACATCAGCTATATTCAGCATGCAGCATCGCAAGGTCATCAAATAGTATCTGGGATCTACTTAATCCTCAAGCATGTACTTCACGTATAATCATTGCAACAAATGGATCATACTACCAGCTAGCAGACTCGTTCACTTCATAGTATGCTCCACGGAAAATCAGAAACCTCCAAGGTTCGTGATTTGAAGCCAAATGCACGTAGTTATGGCACTAACTAGCTCTAGCTTATCTCTTTCATTTCTGGACATTGACATCCCGCGGAATAGAGAGCATTGCTCCGAATGTCTTCGGTCTATCCCAAGCAGTCAAACTTCACACCTTCGCTGTAATCAGAGCATCTGAGCCAGCTTCACACCAGGTTCATAATCACAGAACCCAGCACCCTCACCATCCCTATCCAACAAATAACTAAACCTCTCCCCCATGCCAGCAACCTTCAGGTAGCCCGGCACATCCTCGTTCCCCTCCACCTTGTCGTACAATTCATCGCTCCGATCCCACAAATCCTTTCCGTTCCTCACACGATCAACAATCCTCGCCTCATCTAGATACTCTGCAGTATTGTACTCGGTGTGAGAGAAACTCCGCACCTTTACCAGCATCTCGGACAGAGTTGAAAAGCAGTAGCTGCAGTGCCAGGCTGCGTTGTATAGGTCCTGATCCCCACCCTCAAAGTCGATGACGGAGACGCCGACGTCGCCGCGCAGGTCGTTGGGGAGGATGGTGCTGTCGAGACCGGTGTAGGTAGTTGCTTGCGGGTGAGCCCATTCCTCGCCTCGGTGCAGCCATTGGAAGCTGTAGTAGTAGAATTTGCTTCGCAGGGTAAGGCGTCGCGGGAATTGGCAGTTGTAGAGAAGAGTCAGGGTCTCAGGGCGAGGTATCTCGTCGACATCGGACACGAGGATAACGTCTCCAACGTTCGGGGCCTGCACGCCGGACAGGTTTGGAAAGACTTGGGTGAACATGGCGTTCCGCTGAAAAGCCTCCTTGTCCCAAGCTCCGCGGGTGACGGTGGTATTCTCAAGGTCCAAGACGTGATAGATGATCTTGTGGCGGAAGGCTTCGAAACGGGGCCAGTTCTCTGCAAGGCTGAGGTTTTTGGGGAGACCGGTGAAAGTTGTCGCTGACTCGAGAACAACGAAGAAGTCGACATGATTCTGGAGAGTGTGGAGACGGATCTCCAGCCAGTCGAGCTCGGTGTTGATCATGAAGAGATCGTAGATCTTGCGACGAGGCTCGCGAAGGGTGTATACTTTCCAGCCGTGAGAGCGGCAGTACTTGGACGGCGAGGCCATGTAAGGAGTGGCGGAGAGAGAGAGACCGTTGTCCAGAGGCTTGAGCTTGTTGGCAGAGCTGGTTCGGAATCGCTCAAAGCTAGCGTCGCTCTCCGTGATGGCATTGCTTGCACGAGCAAAGACGTATTGCTTCGAGACGTAGAAGAGAGTGAACAAGGAGAGAACGCAAAGAGCAAGAAGTCTTGCGTATCTGCGCTTCAGTACAAATAAAGGGCTCCATCTGCTCATTGCATAGCTTGCCAACGCCATTGTGTTGTTTTAGGAAGTCGAACTTCGGACAGCTGTCGAGCGCGGGGAGAAAACCAGATAGAAGAAAAAAAACTATCGATAAATCCTTTAGTAAGATCGTAATATTGTTCACAAAGAAATTCGTTTACTAGTAGAAAAGCTCGGACTACAATCCACGTGGATTCCGCGTTGCGATTGAGCTGGGTCATCGTCGTTATCCGGGGTTGTTGGTCAACTATCAGGTCAACTATCAGGTCAACTATTTACTAGCCTGCGAAGCATTTCACCAGGTTCTTCTTACTACCAGAGATACTAGAATAGATAATATATATTGAATTAATACTAGTGGTAGGTTAGTCTATGATCCGGAGCCATAACATATGATATGATCTAGCTTCAAATTGATCTTGTTTATCCAGGGCACTTAAGCGAGAATGTAAATTTTGGCTCTGCAGCGTTACCAATACCAGATAACAATCTCACAATAACTTCCAATCGCAATGATATACACTGTTCTCCAGCATCGAGATATACAGCCCGAAGATTTATTCTGCCGCATTGTAGTGGTTGGGGTTGCGAGTGTTGAGCTCCAGCATAGTATACCCAACAATGGCCTGTAAACAATAAATCTGACAGTCTTAAATCGTGACCGGAGACTTCAGTAGCGATCCAGGAGCACATACTTCATTATATTTCCTTACCCTATAGCCTTGGAAATAGTGTGTGTTTGTGAGCACGTGATGTATCGTTTCTAAGGGGATCCCCACTTTCAACCGAGGGCTTCTTCCACAGGCATAACGTTCTTTTCCCAACCTTCTTACAAAATTTAAAGATCGTCGATGATCAATTGAGCCCTTGGATCTTTATTCAGCTTCAAGCACCTCCATTAAATACTTATGGCCGAATGAAAAATTCTCAAGGGCCAGTGCTTGTTATATCACTCACCGACTCATTGACATCATTGAAACCAAAATGTCGATATATAGAGTCGAGGGAGGAGAGACGTACTATACTCTTCCCAATACACTAGAAGCGCCCAAATATGAGGGAGGTTTTCAATCCTGTGAAAGGATCTGGGTTCGTGAATGCGATCCCATGTACTACTTGTCAGCTGGCATAATTAACCAACTCCTCAGAACCCAATCAATGCCCAATTCTCACCCTGTGCAATCCCATACATTGCAGCTATCCCAGCAGCAATAGCAGTAGTAATCCTGCTCGGTCTTATCTTCCAGCTTCTTCCTCTCAGACATGTGAGTCCAAGATGGCTTCGAAGTTTTGCCCAAGAGCCAGAGCTGCTATCGCAGCGAGTCAACTCCGTCCGGAAAAGATATCTGGGATGGAAGACTATTGCTCTATTTGTAATTTCCCTTGCTGGCCTTGGTTTCCAGACGTGGAGCGTATTTTGCCACGAACTACAGCTGCTGATGGTTTATCCTGCCGCGGCATGGGCTGTGGCTTGTCTTCTGCTTGTTATATACCGGCCTGCAAAGACACCAAAAGCGCTACTCACGCTGTACTGCAGTTTGGCCACCTCACAGCTCATTATCATCGTTGATGGAACTTCTCAATTGAAGCCTCATGGTATCCCAGTCGCTCTTTCCATCCTCTCAGCATTGGGAGCAGTCATCGTTGTTCTACTGATGCCTCTTCGGCACCCCCTTCGCGATAGCTCTGATATAAGTGTACCTTTTTCAGAACCCGCTTTCGAGCTGCGGAGCCCAGAAGACAACCTCTCATTATGGCAGTTCATGAGCGTATCTTGGATGGCTCCGCTCATCAAGATGGGAAACAAGCGACAACTAAACGACGAAGACGTGTGGAGCTTGGGCTATGAGTTCAAGCATCGAATGTTGCATGACGAGTTCAGAGAATTGCAGGGGTCAGTGCTGAGCAGGTTGATCCAGGCCAATGGATTGGACTTGTTTATCATTTCAATGCTGAGTATCATTGAGCTAGTGGCAAGTGCGTGCTACCAGTGCCTCGTACCAAGTATTCCTTGCTAATACTTCCTGCAGACTTCTCGGCACCTGTACTCTTACAGGAAATTTTGCTGAGCATGGAATATCATGGCGCTCCTAGACGAGCGGCACTGAACTATGCCTTGCTCTCCCTGGTCGTAAGACTGGTTTCGAGTCAATCTGGCGTCTTTACGCTATGGTATGGACGGCGAACATACGAAAGATCGCGGGGAGAGTTGATCACCATGTTATACGAGAAGACACTGTCACGCAAGGTGGTTAGCGTCAGCAGCAAGACGAAAGCCATCATCGAGGTCGAGCCGGAGAGCATTCCGAAAGGAAGAGCGAGCCGTGCGGACCAATCACTGCCAGAAAGGTTAAAGGATATCATCCTGAAGCCTTATCGATGGATGAGGGGTAATTCCAAGAAGAAGGCAGACAAGTCGGAAGATCTTGCATCGATGGGTAAAATTATGAATCTGATGAGGTACTTCGATTACTTCTGCTCGTTTCCTTGAGGCTAATCAAAGACAGGTTCGATGCATACGAGGTCGCTCAGCGGTAGGCTATTGATCATCAGAAATTACGAAGTTCTGGGCTAATATCATATGAAGCTTCTGGGAATTCTCATCCCTAGTCTCTCAACCCCTCAGTCTAGTTTTCGCAGTTGTTCTTATTTGGAGAATCCTTGGCTGGCCTTGCTTGATCGGAGTCACCGCCGTTCTGTTCGCCCAAGTCATCAATGCCTTGATCGCCAAAGCGGTCCTCTACTTTGAGAGGGAACGCCGCGTAGCAACAGATACCAAGCTCCACAAGATCTCACAGCTGGTCGATGCCATTCGTCATCTCCGATACTACGGGTGGCAAGATGTGTGGCTGACAAGGATTATGAAAGCCAGACAAAATGAGTTAAGGCTTCGCGTTATCACTGCTCTGTGGCGAGTCGTAATCTCGTTTACAAATGAGTTCGCCAGTGGACTATTTCCCGTTATGGCATTCTGGGCATACACAGTTCTGTCCGGGAAGTCTTTGAGAGTTGATGTTGCTTTTCCAGCCCTGCAACTTTTCAGCATGCTCGAGTCTAGCTTGAGAGAGGTGCCAAACTTGATCACTGTACTCTTGAATGCAAGAGTCTCCATCGGACGTTTGGAGGAGTTCATGAACGAACCAGACAAAGAAGAAGCAACCTTTACCCCAAGCACCAAGATCGAAATGAAGCATGCATCTTTCGCTTGGCCAGGAGCCCAGGAGCCAGTCCTGTGCGACATCAATCTTTCATTTTCATCAGGCCTGACCGTCATTTGCGGAGAAGTTGGCGCAGGAAAAACGGCACTTCTCCAAGCATTATTGGGTGAGCTTGATCAGCTTGATGGAGAATACCATCGTACCAATGAGATGGTCGGCTACTGCGGACAGACACCGTGGCTACAGAGTATGAGTATCAGGGAGAATATTCTCTTCTCAGCACCCTACGAAGAAGCCCGTTACAAGCAAGTCTTGGAAGCTTGTGCTCTGATCCCAGACATGGCGAACTTCAAGCATGGCGATCTCTCTATGATTGGAGAGAACGGTATTGGACTATCGGGGGGCCAAAAAGCCCGCGTATCTCTGGCACGAGCTGTCTACTCAAGAGCCAATGTTCTGCTCCTCGATGACCCTCTCTCAGCACTTGATCACCAGACAGCTGAATATATCGTCCGAAAGTGTTTAGCTGGTCCGCTATTGAAAGGTCGGACTACAATTCTGGTTACGCATCGAACAGAACTATGCATCGGGATGGCAGCACAAGCCATCCAGATGACAGACGGCCGGGCGACACTTCTTGATCCCAAAACTATCCCGTTCGCGGATCTGCACCGTGTGAAGTCTTCTGACTCGGCAATTGAAGATAAGGGAAACGAGGGGCCGAACCAAGCAGCAGTCCCTGACAAGTTTATCGAAGACGAATATCGAGCTCACGGAGGCGTCCAGGCTTCGGTCTACTGGGAATATATCAAAGCCGGGAAGCTGAAATGGTGGTTCGTCCTCATTTGTCTTCTCGTGGTAGGTCGAGTTGTGGAGATCGGCAAGACCTGGTTCCTGAAGCAATGGGGGGAAGCTTACGGAGATCCAATCGAGCAAGTTTCAGGAGAACCGCTTGGAGACCTGCCGTCTCCTGAGAATGACATTAAGCCTTGGCTCGTGGGGTTCTTCATCGTCGCCGTGGCCCAGTCTGTTGCCTATGCAATCACGAACGGATTTATGATCGTCATTATTTACAAGGCTGGGAAGGACTTGTTCGAGAGAGTCATGACCAAAGTCACTCATGCCACTTTCCGCTTCTACGATGTCACTCCTGTCGGACGACTCATGAACCGTCTCACTTCCGACATCAACACCGTGGATGGAAATATCAGTGCCCAGTTCCAATACGTCGCTCTCCTATCCATATCTTGGGTCTCGTCGGTCGTCGTCATTGGTTCTGTCACTCCGCTGTTCCTCATCTTCGCAGTTGCTCTCACAATTGCGTTCGTAATCATATTCAGGCATTTCCTCCCAACGTCTCAAAGCCTTCGTCGCCTCGAGATGGTCTCCCTTACCCCGCTCATCTCCAACTTTGGGGCTCTCACCGATGGATTGACGACCATCCGAGCCTTCGCAGCATCGTCTCGATTTCAGGATCGCGTGATCATGGTCACAGATAACTTCCAGAAGATGGACCACTTCTACTGGAGTCTTCAGGCCTGGCTGATGTATCGTTTCGACACGCTATCAGCCGGCTCGACTTTCATGCTCACAGTCTTAGCACTGTACACGGATGTCTCAGCAGGCCTTACAGCCTTCGTCCTCACCGCCGCAGCAACATTCGTTCGTTCAACTCATGCTCTATGCAGACAGTACGGCCAACTACAAATGGACTTCGTCGCCGTCGAGCGTGTCGTCGAGCTCCTCCACCTCGAGCAAGAACCTCCCGGAAAGATCGCCCCGCCCGCATCGTGGCCCTTATACGGCAGTGACATCGTCTTTGAGGATGTCACAATCCAATATGCACCGCACCTGGACCCGGCTCTCTCCAACATCTCGCTCACTATCAAAGGAGGCTGCACCACTGCCCTGATCGGCCGCACCGGGTCCGGAAAGAGTACTCTCGCACTGGCACTTCTCGCCACCACTCTCCCCATCACGGGGCGAATTTTGATCGACGGCATCGACATCTCCACCGTCGAGCTGCAGGCCCTCCGGAAGCGCGTCACCTTCCTCGCCCAAGAACCCGTCCTCTTCCCCGGCACCATGCGGCAGAACCTCGACCCGCTGGAGGAATACAGCGACGTGGAGTGCTCCACCGTGCTCTCGAAGATCGCATCCCGTCACGAATGGACCCTCGACGCGCACATCGATACCGGGGGAAAGAACCTGTCGCAAGGACAGAGACAGCTCGTCGGGCTGGCGCGAGCGCTGCTGCGGCGGAGTCCGATTGTGGTGATGGATGAGGCGACGGCGAGTATCGATCGCGAGACGGCGATGAGGATCCAGCGGATCTTGCGGGAGGAGATGCGGGAGAGTACCGTGGTCACGATTGCGCACCGGGTTGAGGCGGTGAGTGCGGCGAAATACTGCGTTGTGCTTGCGAAGGGGAAGGTTGTTGAGGAGGGACCGGCTGGGGAGGTTCGGGGGCTGGCATGACATGAACGAATGCCGCTGGTCAGTGGTCAGCGAGAGGATGGGTGAAGATACATGGATGTGAAAAAGGCGTGGTCTCGCATCTATCTATGCATTCTGATCACTCACGGAGTACCTACTATATCCAACAACAACCATCCAAACAATCCAAACAATATGGTTGTCACACGAGCTGGCAACTGTGAGCGTCAGGTGATTTGAATACTTCTCCACCTCTTGGACAGATGGATAGATAGATCCCTTCCCTTCCCTGCAGATCCGGGCCCTATATGCTCTCACACAAATCAGCAGATTGCCCTTAGAAAGAAAAAAAACTTGACCCCATCCGTCCTCACGTGAGAGGAAATCCAAAGCCGGCATGGTGACCTCCGCCCCACGATTCACGCTCGAGCCCCTGCCCTCCACATTCCCGAGTCATGCACGGGGCTCTTGTTCTTGCTCTTGTCCCTGTTCTTGGCTCAGGGCATCAAGCACACAGCCAAGACGGGATTGGGGGCGGGGGTGGAGGCTTTCCAAGTGGTACGAGAAATACGAGAAAATACGAGAAATGCTTAACTTGATGACCACCAGTACTACGTACAACACCTGCTACTGTACCGGTATCTACCTCTCTATCCCCGGCGAGGTTTCTTGGGTGAGAGCAGACGATGGAAGTTTAGGGGATGATGACGTAGGGAGGGAGGTAGGTAGGTTGGTAATTAGATAATTAGGTAATTAAGGTAGTTAGGTTGGTCGATAAGTCGATTAAACCCCAACAACTTCCTCTCCGGTTGCCCTGTTGCGCTTGCTGGCGGCTGAATGGGTTGTTGGTTTTCCTTTGAGTAGTAGTCGGGGTATTATTGGGAGAGGGGGAAGTGGAATTGCCCACCGCTCTTCTCTCCTCTTCTCTCCTCTTCTCCCCTCTTCTTTTCTTGTTGCTTCTTTCTCTCTGGGCCGCCGCTTACAGTGGATTCATATGGGACTACTTACCTACTAACCCACTAACCCACCTAACTAACTAAGCCCCGCTAAGAGTGATTTTCTTGTGGAGAGACTTTACTTGGTGGCTGACGTCATGACGTACTGTTTACCTACGTTACCCACGCTTTGTTTGGTTACTCCATTCTTGCGACATCTCGGCTCCGAAGTTCCAAAATTTCTTCTTGAATGGGGTTATTCTAGTCGTCTGTTAACCTCCCCAAGCTATTTACTTGTCCACCGAAGAAAAAACTACCTAAGGACTTCAAGCGTCCGACGGCGCTCGACTAGCACGACAACCAACGAATATCGTCGAGTGGCATTTTTTCCCCCCCGTGTATATATAAGCCCAGCCCCGGCCCGTAACATGCACTCAACATTTATCCTGTATGGAAATATTTGAGCTTCAAGATTCATCTCTCCGGAGATCTCTGCGCTTACCAACTTCCATCTCCCTGGATATCGCGACCTCAGTAACCGTCGTCACACACAATGGGGACTTCGGATGAAAATATCGGGGTACCCCTTCCCATGGGCGAGCGCGAGCGCGAGCACGACACCATGAACGAGAAACAAATCAACGAGTCAGAAACGTCGTCGGCCACACACGGGGACAAGTACGACATCCCCCCCGGAGGAGAGAAACCCGACACCGATGCCGCGACCAAGACAAAGCCCAAGCCTACATCTCAAAAGCATGCGGCCTTTACAGGCGACAACCAGATATTCACACCGTCGACCAAAAATCTGGATGGCGAGGATCTGCCGGATGCAGAGAGGGTCGGAACCCACGACAAGAAGGAGTTGACAGAGGATGAATGCTATGACGAGCTGGGATTCTCCTTTCCGGAATGGAAGAAATGGTATGCATTCTATATCTATGCACTGACTGCCTGCCTGGCTCAGTATCCGCCCCTACCATTGCTGCTCATATTAACCATCTGTAGGATGATTCTTACCGTGATCTTCATGGTCCAGGTCTCCATGAACTTCAACACCAGTCTCTACTCCAACGCCATCCCGGGAATCCAGGAAGAATTTGGCGTCAGCGCGCAGGCTGCTCGAGTCGGTGCCATGATCTTCCTGGTCTTCTATGCTTTCGGGTGTGAGCTCTGGGCACCATGGAGCGAGGAGTTGGGCAGATGGCCGATCCTCCAACTCTCTCTGCTTCTGGTCAACATCTGGCAAATCCCCGTCGCCCTGGCTCCAAACTTCGCGACCATTGTGGTGTGCCGAGCTCTCGGCGGTCTCTCCTCCGCCGGGGGATCGGTCACACTCGGTATGATTGCAGACATGTGGGAAGCGGATAACCAGCAGTACGCCGTGGCATTCGTCGTCTTCTCCTCGGTTGGTGGTTCGATCCTCGGCCCCATCGTTGGTGGATTCAGCGAAACCTATCTCAAGTGGCAATGGTCCATTTGGCTCCAATTGATCTTCGGCGGTTTCGTCCAGGCCCTCCACTTCTTCTGCGTCCCAGAGACAAGGAGTACCATCATGATGGACAAGATTGCGAAGAAGAGACGGAAGTCTGGCGTCGACCCCATGATCTATGGACCGAACGAGCTCGTGCCATACTCGGATAGATTCTCTGCCAAAGAGATCTTGGTCACCTGGATTCGGCCATTCAAGATGTTCTTGACGGAGCCTATCGTCCTCACCCTCTCTCTCCTGAGTGGCTTCAGCGATGCGCTCATCTTCATGTTCATCCAATCTTTCGGCTTGGTATATCATCAATGGGGTTTCAGCACTGTCCAAGTTGGTCTAACCTTCGTCGCTATCGGTGTGGGATACACGTTGGCCTGGCTCTCCTTCATCCCCGCGATCAAGCGAAATATCAAAGAGCGACAGGCCCACCCGGACGACGAGAAGGCGCAATACGAATCGCGTCTCTGGTGGTTGCTGTACACAGCTCCCTGCTTGCCAATCGGTCTCATTGGTTTTGCTTGGACGTCGACCGGCCCACCCATCCACTGGATCGGAAGCATGATTTTTGCCGGCATTGTCGGTGTCGCTAATTATTCGATTTACATGGCCACCATCGACTACATGATCTGTGCCTACGGTCCCTACTCTGCGTCCGCAACGGGCGGTAATGGATGGGCGAGAGATTTCCTGGCGGGTGTACTCACCATCCCCGCGACTCCTTTCTTCACGAGTAAGCAGCCCCCTCCCCCCAACATACCCATCCCCGCGAAAAAGAAAAGTCACTCACATCGTTCTTAGACCTCGGCAGCACCACTTCCAAGTCCCTCGCCTACGCCTCCACGATCCTCGCCTGCATCTCCTTCGTGCTCGTCCTGGCCGTCTACGTAATCTACTGGAAAGGGCCGGTCCTACGCAAACGTTCACCTTTCGCCCAGCAGCTCTCGGACGCCCGCGCCGAGCAGGAAACCCTCGGCCGCCGCCTCTCCAAGCTGCCCTCCTCCGACCAGGCCCAGCGCAGACCGACCACGCACCGCGAGCAGTCGTTCGTGCGCAGCCAGCAGGATCTTCGTCTGAGGCAGGCGATGGGCAGTCGGCAGCACAGCTACGTGGGCCAGAAGACGCCGAACCGGACGCCGGTCGCGAGCCGCAGGAATAGTCTGGTGGGAGCGGCGAGGAAGACGCCCGTGGCGAGTAGGAGGAACAGTATTGCGGATAGTGGGGCATGAGTGCGGACTTTGAAGAATTTTAAGCATATTTTATCTTTATTTTGGCTATCTGTGATCGTTGTTTCTCTCTCTTCCAATATGTGTATACATATATATATGTATACACCTTTAGTAATACGAATGAAATTGGTACATATATATATATATTGGATACTGGGTCTAGATTCTTGGCCACTTACCGAATACTTACCGAATGTTGCCGTGGGCACGGTCACGGTCGCACGAGTCTCAACACCAAGCCAAAATCTATCCGTGCCACCCTGGGATCCGGTGAAGTACCTATGCATACCCCGGAGAAATCGTACTCGGGAGCTGCCTCGGTACTTTTACCCGTCATCTCAACTTGTACCACTTCTTTCGCTCTTATAAGAGATCTCTGTCTGCTATCATAAAAAAACGTTGACAAAACTCATTGGTTTCCACTTCTGCAACCATGGCTACTCCATCTTTGTTTCCGTCCATCGAGATTCCGGAAGTTGATTTATGGGAATTCATGTTCGAAGGAGAGAGATCGTTTCCCGATAATAAAGGTATGTATCAACTTCCTTACTTCATGTTCCCTCTATCTTTGAGCACATATTTACCATCTTCGCAGTTGTCTATGTTGACGGTATCACATCGCGACAATACACCTTCCAAGATGTCCGGGAGACCGCAGTTGCCTTTGGGCAGGCCATTCGTACCAAATGGAACTGGAAGCAAGGTGACGTTATGGGAGTCTTCTCCCCAAATTGTGTTGATACGCCGGCCGTGACATTTGGGACGATCTGGGCGGGCGGCATCGTGTCACCAGCCAACCCAGCGTACTCCGTGAAGGAGCTGGCATTTCAGCTCCGAGACTCGGGAGCGAAAGCATTGTTGACCCAGGCCTCTTGGCTCAAGACGGCACTCGAAGCCGCCGAGGTTGCCGGTCTGCCACCGAGCCGGATCTTGCTGATGGGCGACGAGGAGCGCCCAGGCATTGAGCACTTTCAACATCTCATCGCTTCCGCGAGGTCTTCTCAACCCGCAGCTCGGACCGTCTCGAAGCCAGACGACCTGTGTTTTCTCGTATACTCGTCCGGCACCACCGGGTTGCCAAAGGGCGTGATGCTCAATAACAGGAACATTGTTTCAAACACACTCATGACCGACGTTGGAACACCAGAAGTATCCGCGGACGCTGTTCTGGTGGCAGTCCTCCCGCTCTTCCACATCTACGGTAAGGCATACTCATCTCAAAGGTATGTTGAATCAAGCTGACGTGGTTTTAGGCCTGGCACTCCTCGTGGTCCACTGCATATACAGGGGCGCCAAAACCATAGTCCTCCCAGCCTTCAAGCCCGACACGTTCCTCACAGCCATCCAAACGCACCAGATCACATTCGCCTACCTTGTCCCACCGATCATCCTGTTTCTCGGTAAATCGCCCTTGGTGAACTCTTACGACCTCAGCAGCATCAAGATGATTGCGTCGGCTGCGGCTCCGCTGACCACTGATCTCATCGAAGCGGTCTGGGGACGTCTGCACATCCCCATCAAGCAAGCGTGGGGAATGAGCGAAGCTAGTCCGGCCATCGCTACCATGCTCGCCGGAGACTGGAGAACGACCATGGGGAGTGTGGGAAAGGTGCTTCCCAATCAATCCATCAAGATCGTTTCCGAGGCTGGCGACATACTGCCAGCGACTGAAAATGGAGAGATCTGGGTGAAAGGGCCGAATATCTTCCCGGGCTACTGGAATAACCCCGAGGCCACGGCCAACTGCATGACGGCGGACGGCTTCATGAAAACTGGCGATATCGGACACATCACTGCGGAAGGGCACGTCTACATCACCGATCGCCTCAAGGAGCTGATCAAGTACAAGGGGTTCCAGGTTGCGCCTGCAGAACTTGAGGGTCTCTTGGTGGGGCATGACTTTGTCGGCGATGCTTGCGTGTTGGGAATCTTTGACCCCGCGCAGGCGACTGAGCTCCCAAGGGCCTACGTGGTGAAGAGTCCCCTCGCGGCGGAGAAGGAGATGGAGGACGAGGTGCTACAGAAGCATATTCTGGAATGGGTTGACGCCAGGGTCGCTCATCACAAGAGACTGAGAGGAGGTATCGTCTTTGTGGAGGAGATTCCGAAGTCTGCAGCCGGGAAGATTTTGAGGAGGCTCTTGAGAGACAGATTCAAGGCGGAAGATGATGCGAAGACGGTGAAGGCGAAGTTGTAGATCTGGGCGTGGAGGGGATCGAATGATAGAAAGCAGTGCCGTTGCAGGACATACAGGCCAGACAGATAGACTCGGAGTAAAGCGCGAGTGATCAGAAATGTGCCTTGTCCTGTCCATCTTGGCTGGCCCATCCAAGTCAGTTCATGCTTGGAACCTCTGCTCCAAGCAAGTGAAGTATCGTGTCGGCATTGCTACATATCTTGCTAAGCGAGGACGGGAAAGGGGTGTTGTCACTTCGTCAAGCCTTGATCCAAATACCGAGAAGTAAGCGAGCCGCGTTTGTTTTGTCCCTGTCCCAGGCGGGTTCCTGCATCCTGCATCCTGCCCCTTTCTCTTGGCACCAGAGGCAGAGCTACGGACATCCGTGACGTCAGGAATCCGGACCGAGATTCTTCCAGCTTTTCGCAAGTCCAGGCTCTCTCAATCTCTCAATCTCTCAAATCCAGCCTCTCTCAAATCCATACGAAAAATCCAATTCGTCGCTAGCACAATCAGACAGACATGCTGCCATCATCATTCGGTCTCCTGGCCGGTCTCGCCTTTTCCCAACTGATCCCTGCAGCATCTTCCGCTGCCGCACAAGTCCCTCTCTATCCCACGAGCCACACAGAAGGCTACAAATTCGATCCTCTTCACCACCTCCCAGGTATATCCCCCTACTTCGACGCCATAGGCTTTGGCCTCGACCATGGACCTCCCAGACACTGCGAAGTGACAGCAGCGTCGTACCTGGTTCGTCACGCGGCCATCTACGCCAACGAGAAGGATTATCAGCGCTACATCGAGCCCTTTCTCAAGAAACTTGAATCTACATACGCAGTCTCGTCAAGAAAGAAGAGAGAGGGCTGGAGAGGCCCATTAGCATTCTTCGACAAGTGGAAAAGCCCGATCGATGACAATCAGTTGGAGGAGATCACCCCGCAAGGAATCAAAGACTCGAAGAAAGTCGGCAAGCACCTACTTTCGAGATATCCGACCCTGGTGCCGACAACGAAGAGGATCTTTGCGGATACGAAATCCAGGACGCAAGATACCGCTGTGGCGTTCGTGAAGGTGTTCCCGCAGAAGGTCGAGATCGAGGAGATCAGTCCCAATCGATCGTCTTTCCACTCGCAGAATCCGCATAAGGCTTGCGATGCATTCTCGAAGAAGCCTGGTGACAAGGAGATGAAGACTTTCATGTCGAGGTACACCGCACCTATCATTGCCCGCTTGCAGCGCCATTCTCCGGTCGACCTGACCGAGACGGATATCATGGGCTTGCAGCAACTGTGTGGATACGAGAGTGCGATCACGGGAAAGAAGAGCGATACCTGTGACGTATTCACCGACGACGAGTGGATGTCTTACGAATACGCCTGGGACCTCAAGTACTCGTACATGGTGGGCCACGGCAACCCCCTGTCACCGTATCTCGGCTTCCCCTGGCTCAACACCACCTCTCAGCTCATGGAGAAGTTCCACAGCCCTCGGCACCGTGATGCGCTCGGCGGAGACGTCCCCGACGATGATGGCCAGCGCTTCTTCCTCGCTTTTACTCATCGTGAAGTGCCACCCTTCATCGCGACGGCGCTGGGTCTCTTCAACAGCTCCAACGCGCTCGCCGAAGAGTTCCCCACGGACAGGATCAACTGGAACCGGTCCTGGAAGATGGCAGAGCTCATCCCGTTCCTGGGCCACGTCGGCATCGAGAAGCTCACGTGCAACTCCGTCAGCGCCGAGCCGGCAGATGAGCAGGAGTATATCCGGGTGATTGCGAACAGTGCTCCGAGACCGATCCCGGGGTGTGAAGATGGGCCCGGGGCGAGCTGCAAGGTTGACCAGTTTGTGGAGAAGATCCGGAGGGGCATGGAGGAGTACGGCGATTTCGACGGCGTCTGCGGGAATGACCAGGAGTGATGTCGTTTGTGGGAATGGGAATGGGAATGGGCCAGGGCATGGAGGAATCAATAGATGGCGCTTTTGATCCTATAGGCACTAGAGCTCTAACTGCTAACGCAGAATACTAATGCATAATGAACATTTACCGGTATTTCGCACCAGAATTCTTTACGGACATTTGACAGCTTTAAACCTTCTAAACCATAAACAAGCTTTGAAATGTACGTACTACGTACTACGTAGTACCGGTAGTACCACGGGACAGGCGTAACTTTTACACACCCTTGAGGGTAGGTTAACCAGGGGGCTTAAAGTGGAAACTTGAACTTTTGCGGCACCCTCGGGGGGGGGGGGGGGGGGGGGGTAA